GTTTGTAATTGTTTGTTTGTATAGTGCCTAGCACCCAGAGATTTGGCAGGGGGCTTCTAGATAATATATAGCGGCCTACACAGCCATGTTCAATTACAGCCTTGGAAAGAGTCCAAAAGGAAGCAGGGGGCAATCATTGCATGTGACGCTTAGCTGGAGAAGAGGGAGACATTTACAGGGGCTGAGCTAGCGTAGCTGAGAAGAGGAGGTAAAGCTGGGGTGAGGAACCTTTTTCGGTTCAGGGGCCGCTGACCTACAGAAAAATCAGTCGGGGGGGATTTTCACAAGTGAGAAGCCAAAAAACAAAAAACAAAAAAAACCTGCCCTAGTAGATTTTGGGTGTTCCAGCCCCATGGTGAGGCAGGAGTGCCAATGCCTAATGCTGGGGAGGGGGCTGAGTCTTGGGGGCTGGATCCAGGCAAGCGGGGGTCCACATCCGATCCCCAGGCCTGAGATCCCCCACCCCTGAGTTAAAGGCATCATCTACTTTCATATGCGTAGTACAAAACTCTGCTAACCTGAGGGGCATATGCACTCAGAATTGGATTGATGCATTTTTTTCTGTTTAAATGTGTTTGTCTGTTGTTTTGACAGTGACTTATGTGATGCCGTCTCTGCTGCTGAGCTAGAGCTGTGAAGAAGGTGAGCAGGAATAATAGTCTCTTAATCTTGAAATTCCATTTTCTCTCTCCCAGACTAGGAAGAAGAGAGGAAGAGAGAAGGGAGGTAAATCTGACGGCTCAGTCCCCGTAACCCCAAGTAGTTTCAGGGGATGATGGGCCTTTTCTCGAAAAGTGCCGATTTCCCAATGGAAATTTCTAAGGAAATTCTGCTTCCAACGCTTTTAATCTTATTTTTTTGCGGTGAAGCTGTGTCGGTTTGTACTCCCTCCCTGTCTAAATGGCCTGCGTGGGTTCCAGAATCAAATCACAGTACAATTATTTTCTATAGCTATAGAAATTCCTCCTTGTAACTGGAGCAAGCAACATGTCTCTGGTGTTTCTATATAACTCCACTGCTGAAATAATTTAGTAATGGTCTCACAGCTGCATTCAATTATTGTTAAGAACCTTAAATATCTCATGGTCACAGGCCTGTGAGTGACTTTTCAAAGTAGGGAATCTGTCGAAGAGTGTTCCTTGTTACTGAAAATTACAAAGATTTCTGGCAGTGTTCCTTTGCTGTCACTATTGCTGGTATGATGGAGAGTTTGCATGCCGATTTACAACGAGCAGCTGTTTTATACCAGTGGTGCAGATCAGAAGGAAAGGTTGGAGATACCAAACATGTTCAGAAAAGTGTTAGAATGCAATGTTCCCAAATAAACAACCCCACAGCCGAACATGAACGACAAGAAGTGATTTTAAATCAAGGAGGCTCAATAGGGGTGTGATTCAAGAAAGGACTTAAGCATGTGCTTAATTTTAATCACTTACTTAGATGGTTGCATGAATCAGACCCTCAAAAGGATTTAAAATGGAAAGACTGCTGAGCAGGTCTAATGCCATCCATGGTCTCACAACCTCAGAAGAAAGAGAAATAATAGATCATAGAATCATATGATTCTATGATCAAGTCCAGCCCCCCGCCCAAAACAGGACCAATCCCAACTAAATCAACCCACCTAAGGCTTTGTCAAGCCGAGACTTAAAAACCTCTAGGGATGGAGATTCCACCACCTCCCTAGGGAACCCATCCCAGTGCTTCACCACCCTCCTAGGGAAATAGGATTCTTCCGCCCCAAGTCCAGAACTCTGGACTTGTCCTTGTTGAACCTCATCAGATTTCTTTTGGCCCAATCCTCTAATCTGTCTAAGTCACGCTGGACCCTAACTCTGCCCTCTAACATACCTACCTCTCCCCCTAGCTTAGTGCTATCCGCAAACTTGCTGAGGGTGCAATCCATCCCCTCATCCAGGTCATTAATAAAGACATTGAACAAAACCAGCCCTAGAACCGATCCTTGGGGCACTCCGCTAGAAACCGACCACCATCCTGACATTGAGCCTTTGATCACAACCTGCGGGGCCCGACAGTCTAGCCAGCTTTCTATCCATCCTACTGTCCATTTATGGTCAACTGATTCATTTTATATCTTTATGTGCAGGCCCACAGATCAGGGGGCAAAGGGAGCATTTGCCCCACAGCCCAGCCATTCCAAAGGGCCTAGGGCTCCCAGCCACAGAAGCAGCTACCCTAGAACTGCAGGCCCTTTAAGTCCCTCCGGGACACTGAGTGGCATGGTCCAGGTGGCTCTCAAAGCGAGCTGGGGCCATGGCACAGCACGCTCTGGGTGGCACTGAGGGCTGGTTGTCCATAATCCCACCCCTACTGCCAAGCCCTCCCCCCCTTCCTGGAGCGAGGAGTTCTCCCCACCTCCATCGGGCCCGGCAGGTCTGTCAGCCCCACAGTTTATGTGTGACTGTATTGTGTGGTACAGTAGTCACAGCACACATATATAAGAGCAGCCACCATGTTATTTGCTTCAACCAGTAACTTCCTTGAAGGATGAATAGAAATATACTTAGGAGTTTGCATTCGTGAGCTATAAAAGCTAGCGGCTGATCATTCTGTCCTCACCTACGCATTAGGGGAGAAAGGAGAAAGCAGCAGCTGGGTCTTACTGATGGTGAAATATTCAAGTATTTGACCTGCTATGGATGCTTTACAGTCAGGTCTTGTGCCAATTTATATGAGTATTAGTTATTTGTATTACTATCACACCTAGGAGCCTCAGTCCTGCTTGTGCTGGGCACTGTGCAAACACAGAATAGAAAACGACTGTCAGCTCTTCGGGGCAGTGACCAAGTGTAAGATAAGATGTCAGATGGCTACAGACAAAACACTACCATCCTCCACCAGGTGAATGGCTGTCTGCAAGTCCCATAACAGTGACCATGTTGTCTTGTCACTCACCTCATTTTCCTTCTGAGCCAGTAACTTTTAGAATTATATATGGTCAATTTCACTATGCATAGACTGTTTTGTCAATTATTAAATCATTAGTCGTGTAAAAAGAAAGGAACACCTATGTCAGTTTTGACTCCTGCTGAGGTTTCGTTATTTCTCTGTCTAGCAGATATATGGCCAAAACTCTATTTCTTAGCAATAAGAAAATGACTTAAGACCCCAATCCTGGTTGACTCTGACATATAGCTAACTCTCTGCTTCCACGGAAAAAATTAAGAGGTGCAGATTCTTAGTACCTCATTGGATCAGAGCCTTAATTAGCAAAGCATCGGAGTTCTACTGCAAGGATAGGGAAACCCTTATCTTTTGGATAGAAAAAAAGCTGCATAAAATTCATTGCTGAGAATTACTAATTACATTAACTTACTGAGGGTTCTATACAGTGTTCCCTCTAAGCCGTGCGCTTGCCACTCAGGAGAGGTTCCAATGTTGCCCAGTTGATTAGCAAAGCACCCAAAGCCAGGTTTTGTGTTTCTATTGCTTATGCACATTCACACGTGCCTGGATGCACATCCAAAAATTTATTCCACACAGGGATGGAAAAAAATCCACATATGGATGGAAAAGGTTAGAGGGAACATCATTCTATATAAAAATAGTAGAAGCTGTGAGATTATTATGAGTCAAACTTTTATAAAGGAGAATATGCACATCTCTATTACTACCATGAGGAGAGAAGAGATGGAAGAAAAGCCTTCTGTGAGTAAAAAAAATATCAGGGGTTCATGGCAAAGAGGTTTAATGATCATATACAGCACACATCCAACTGAAAAATAGAAAGCCCCTCTCTGCGTTTATGGAAAGGAAGGGAAAAAAATCACTTGTTAATGAAAATAGCCAGCTGCTTTTTAGCATTAAGAACAGCCCCAGCTCAGATCCTGATGTCAAACCAGAGCTTCCGGTAATTTTCCATGAAAGCTAAACAACCTTATATATCCACATTTGGACCATAAGGATCTAAGCCAGTACCAATTAGAGTCAGACACAAAACTCCCAGAGACTTCATTGGTGCAGGCGAGGGTCCTAAGTAATGATTAAAAGCGAAGACGGCTCAAAAGTAGCACAGATGAAAGGAAGCCTGTGCATCTAGCCGAACGTACATTCACCTGCAAATTTTACTACAGGCTAAAGTTATTTTCAGTTAATTGTGTGTTACATACAAAAAATGTTCCCGAGTCAGAGTCTCTCAGATACCCTGCTTACAATTGTTACCAGGAGAAAAATACAAAAGAATCACTGGGGTTTTTTTCCATGTATTCTTTTAAACACTCTTATTCCCAGGCACATAATATAGTGATAAGGATGTGCTGAAACCTTCACTAGGAAGTACAGGATGTGAAGGTTTTGTGTGAGAAGTGAGTTACTTTACGTCTGGTTACCATTATTTTTGGAACAGATGGGGACGAACCCTTTGCAAGCTTCCTCGTTCAAACCAGCCAAACTTGCTGCTAATTTGCAATGTGCTGCAGTTCAACTGCTTTCTTATTCCATCTGCAGCCAGCCACAACCTTGATGACCTGCACCACCACTTGGGACTTGTGCCAAGCAATTGCTGCTTATAAATCTTCAGATTTGAAATATGCATCCAATCAATAATTGGGAGGAGGGGTCAGCATATGGAGACTGTAACAAACAAAATCAAGTCATCAGCCAGGAGTATTTTCACCGTACAGAAACAGTCTCCAATTATGCAAAAGTCATCAACTAAGAAGACCTGTTTTTAAATATTTGTGTTTGTCTTGCATCTCTGCACCAGAAATGTATACCCATAACATTCTTCCTGGAGTATCCACACTGCTTCTGGTAAGGTAAGGAAACTGGAAACAGGTTCTTATGTCTTTGTTTCACTCTGCATAATACATTTAAAGCAGGCTGAAGTGGGTTTTTGTTTTTAGTTAGTTATTCATATTTTAACTCCAGGTTTCTCTGCACAGTTTGCAGCAGAAGACTTCAGATAAACCCTTCCCCCTGCCAAAATTAATGTCCACTCTTTGTAGCAGCTGTCAGCCCACTGTCCCCATTTCTCCTGCTGCTCAGGCTGATGAATGGATCAATAGGAACTTGGTGCTTAAGGGTTTTCAACTCAGCCACATTTTTCTCCCTGTCCCCTCCTTTTTGCCCACAGGACATGACTGGCACTGTCAAGGCCACTCAGACAAAGCTTTTTCTTTTCCCCTCCTGGTTTCAAATGTGCTACTGTTAGAAGGAACATTGTCAGCAAGTTGGTGGGAAGCACAATGCGACAGTTGTACTGGACTCCAAATGACAAGTCCGCATCGTTCACACTTTTTTAGATGATTTGGGGACGTGACAATTATATCTTTGTTGCCCCCAAAGCACTGGCTGCTGTAAATGTAGCTAATCAGATCATCTCTATCCTGAGAGAATTCTGAAGTGAACACAGCAAGCCCCACACAAGCTTCATAGTCAAGATGGGCCAGTGTTATGTTTTCACAAATGCCTTTCACGGTGTCCTCCTTTTCCTACCTACTCCTTTTCCCTTCCACTTGTTTATTTTAAAAATCAAGGGTGGGATCTTCAAAAGCATTCAGCGGTGGCCTCTCCCTCCTCCCATTGAAGTCGGTGGAAGTTTTGACTTAGTAAGAGCCGAACTAGACCATCACTGAGAGCTTATGAGTATTCCACTCCAAAGACCCTCCGTTTTCAGAAACGGTGAATGTCCAGGAACTCAGTTTGAGCTGCCAGTATTCAAGTCATTTCAGACTTTTCAATGCTGTTTTTTCATTTATGTGAAGATGTCAAACAGTGAGATTGTGGCTATTCAAAAATATTATTGTAGCTTTGTAATTTGGAGACCTTCATTAGATCCACTGAGGTGTGCAGTTGGATTCTGCTACTTATTGTTAGCATTGGTCAAAATTTTCAAAAGCGTTTAATGATTCTGGTTGCCTGGCTGCAGGGGTTTGGTTTTTGGAAGGTGGATTCTCGGCACTTTGTGAGAACAAGGCCCCTAAAGTACCTCCAGGAGGGCAAAAATCAACAGAAAATGCAACTTAAGGTATGCAAAACTCACTAGACACTTCTGAAAATCTTGGGCTTTATGCTAATTGAGGCATTTCCTATAACTGATGTAAATACAGAAGTCTTTAACATGGAGGAATTAAATATGAGATTCACTGTGAATGGTCTATTTCAGCATAGGAATGGAAATAAAATGGACAGTTTAAAATCAGATAAACCAACTTCCAGGCACAAGCATGGTTAGGACTAGGGTAGTAAAATGAGAACTTATTTTCTCTCTCCCCTCTCTCCTTCCCTGAGACACATTTGGGCTAGTCAGTCATCTTTAGCATCAGCGGCAGTCAACCATGAGAGCAGTAAAGAGGAAGATGACTAGATTCAACCTTTCCCTGCTGTCAGACCCCTCCCTGACCTATTCCCCAGTGCTATTAGCGGTGGGAAAAGCCATAACTTGACTAACATTAGCTGAGTTAAAACAACAAGGGGTCTGGTGGCACTTTAAAGATTAACAAATTCATTAGCGTATTCGAGTATAAGCTTTTGTGAGCAACAACTAACTTCAAAGAAAAGAAAAGAAAAGAAAAGAAAGAAAGAAAGAAAGAAAGAAAGAAAGAAAGAAAGAAAGAAAGAAAGAAAGAAAGAAAGAAAGAAAGAAAAAGATTTTTCTGCAAGAAACATGAGGGTGAATTTTCTTGTTACGTCTCTTCTACAGATTCTTTTTGGGTTATCTGTCAGACCCACAGTCCCTGCTAGTAAGCATGGGGGATTTCTTTCGTAAATTTAGAACTTCAAATCCTTTTTCTCTTGCTTTGCTATTTTCAGCCTTTTCACTCATGCATTTAAATGCTGGGCTCAGTACAGGTAAAAACAAATGTTAAGGAACCATCCATTAACTACCTGACAGCTTAAACAAATCTCCTCAAAGCAAAGGTTCCATTATGAAAACCAGTACCCAGCAGCTTCACCAGGGAATTCATATTCATGGGAGAACATAATCTCATGTGAAAACCTGTCAGGTTGACTACTCATCTTCCATGGTTAAACTGTTTAAAGGGTTTACTACATCCTGCCCAGTAGTTCTACATTACCATATTTTATGCAGCATCAGTCTAGTCTATTCATCTCAGAAAATCTAGGATTTTAGCGATACGCTGGAGCAATCACTTATGCAAATTCGATCAGTAAATATGGGCCATTCAGTGGCTGTGTTTTTAATTTGCCACAAGCAGCATTAAGGCCAAAGAACTCCTGCCTGCCAAAAACTTGAGAGTAATCCTGTCATGAACTATTAATACAGAGCACAGAACTGGCGCTTGGCAGCAAACCACCAAACCCACAAAGTTGTGTTTAATTTGCTATTAGAGGATAGACTGAGTCGTCGTCCCTCAATTGTTCTGAGGTGATATTTCAGCACTGAGCCCTGGAAAACAGCCATTGCTAAGATTGCAACAAGTATCCAGTTTTCCCACAGAGGTCACCGGCATTGTGCCCTGTGAGCTGTGTGCTTGTGCAGCTGCTTAGGAGAGATTCCAGTGCCACCCAGTTGATTAATAAAGTGCCTACAGCTCTTTTTGTTTGTTTGCTTCTCCTGGTGGTGCACATTTGCACACGCCTTAGCACATATAACAAAATTTATTCTGCACATGGATGGAAAAAGATTAGAGGAAACATTGGTCACCAGCTTTCCTAATCCTCTGGAGATGGGGGTCTTCATATTGGGCTAGCTGGGAGTTGTCCTTCCTTTTTTTTCTGTGGAATTCAAGTTGTTGTTCCAAAGGAAGTCTCAAGAGATTCTGTTTGCAGAGGCAGCCCCAGGGCCGTAAATCAGCGTGTCTCTCTCTTGTGTGCTATTCAATCAGACACAGGCGTTGGGGCCCGACCTGGCTCCTCTGGAGCCCAGTAGGAGTTTTACCGCCGCCTTCCACAGACTTTGGATTAGTACTGTGTGCAGCAGTGGCAAAAAGGCCAATGGGCCTTGGCTTTTTAGTTCAGAATTAATTTTGAATCTTTCTAGCCTTTTGGGAGCCCTGTGTGAAAGGCTCCCCTTTGGTTTTTCTCCCAGATGGTGGGAGGTGCACCCCACATCCAGTTACAGGCACAGACACAGGCTCCAGTTTCTTATTTCTTTCAAGGGGGGCTCTACCCCTTCCAGGCGGGCCCTTAGGCCCACTGCCCCAGGACCTGGTGATTCAAAGGGGCCCGGAGCCCCTTAATTCACCACCAGTGTGCTCTGGGCGGCTCTTAGGGCTGCCTGGAGAGGCGGGGATGCAACGGCGTGCTTCAGGCACTGTGGTCTGGGTGGTGCTGAGGGCTGGCTGCCTATGGCCACACCCCTTCTGCTGATGCCCCACCCCTTGCCGGACTTTGAAGCCCGCCCCTCCCCCCACTTTGCCCGGCGGCCTGGCGTGGCTGTTGGCTCCCCTGTTGCCAGGCTTTCTTAAGTCTCTTCTGATGGGGGATCTAAAGGAAAGTTACCCCAGCTCCTCCCCAAAATCGTTTCTTACCAGTGCCAGCGGAGAGAGAGAAAGGCCAGCAATAACTTCTTACTCTAGGGCCATCTGCCCTGCAGGTTTGAAGGAAATCTCCTGGCAGAACAGCTAAATCAGCCTCATTCGGTGCAGCTTGCCCTAAGGGTGCCTGGCCCTCCCCGTAGGGTCAGGGTGGAGATCTCCTGGAGGGGAGATGCCAATGTGGCTTCAGGAGTCTGTCCAGCAGCTGCCAGCTCCATGGGCTCTTTGCACCCCCCCGTCAAAGGAGGCCCTGGCAGACATGCCAAGCCCTGCTGGGAACCCTGCATACATGGTGTCTCTGGCGGGGCAAACACATCCCATCCACATACACTCTGGAGCAGTGTTCGGAAACTGCTCCCAAAAGCTGTTCTAGCCCCGTAAATCACATGGCCAGGTAAATCACATGAGAACATGGCTCAGCGCTTCCCTCCCTCCCTCCCGCAGCGGCCACCAGCACACGCCGCGAGAGCAAGAGGAAGCCCAGAGAAGTCACTTTATGGGCAAAGGGCCATTTGCACTACGCCCTCTCTTGTCCCAAACCAAGGCTGACCTGAGCATTCCGAACCCTGTAGGAATCCTCTCCTATTGTACGCCCCACCCGCACCATGCTCATCTCGTCCCCGTTTCCTCTGCCCCTTCCTGTGGGCCCACAGGCTCTGTCCTCTGCAGCACCGACTTCCAGCAAAGCCTTCCTCCCTCCCTTTGCCTCACTGGCTTCCCATCTTCTCCCAGATTACATGATCAACATCATCAACAACCATACCATCCGATGCCTCCCTCACTATTTCTTTCCATCTTTCCCTGTCCAGTGTGGAGCGGCTTTGTTTCTGTAGACTAACTCCGCACCAGTCTTTCTTCCTGCACACACGTCCGCTCTCTGCTACTGCTACTCCACTCTCTTTAAAAACAATGAGTGGTCGTGTGGCACCTTATAGGCTAACAAAAAATAGATCGATAGCATCATCAGCTTCCGTGGGCAAAAGCTTTTGCCCACAAAAGCTCAAGTTACAGACTGACACGGCTACTCCTCTGAGACTTTTAACTCTCTTTAACGCCGGTGGGCATGTCGACACAGCAGGGCTAAACCTGAAATAAGCTACGCAACTTGAGCTATGTCAATTGCGTAGCTTAAGTCGAAATAGATTATTTTGACTTTTGGTGCTGTCTGCACAGCAGAAAGTCTGAGAGAGCACTCTTCCTCTGACTTCTCTTACTCCTCGTAAAATAAGTGTTACAGGAGTCGGAGTAAGAAGTCCTCCAGTTCGACGTTATTTTGACATGTTGAAATAACTGCTTGCTGTGTAGACGCGGACTATGTTATTTCGGAATAATGTCCGTTATTCTGAAATAACGCTGCTGTGTAGACACAGCCTTTATGTTTACAAGGCTGCAGTTTGGTACGAAATATATTGCACAAAAGAGTGTTTCATACTGTATTGTTCTATGGAGGAGAAATTAAAATGCCACTTTCTTTTTCAGGTCTCAGAACCATCACCACCACCCTGCCACACTATTGGATTTTATGAAATTAATGGACAAAGGAGAAAATATTTTTCATAGCCTTCTGTTAACTAAAATGTCAGTTAATCACATCCCCGAGACATTAAAGGGTAAAGTGGATAGCATGACCCTCTTGGGCTAACTTACTGCATATGTTTTAATATAGAGGAAATTGGGCCAGACATGTCCTTTTCTCTGATTCTATTGGAAATCCCTTTGCTTGCTTCAGTCACATTAGAGCTAGCAAACAGGTTCCATGTTCCGACAACTGGGCTGCACTACAAAGCCACTATAAAAGGAAGACATGTCACTGCACGGGCTTTAGCACAAACTATGGTACATGGAACCCAGGCATGGATCTTGGCATGGGAGAATGTCTGAAATGTGCTCCACCAGCTATGAAGACTATAGGTTTGATATTTCCTGCCATTTGTTCTTCCACTTACGGGGCCAAATCCTGAATTCCATGCTCTGCTGAAAAAAAAAAAATCTTGTTGATTTCAGGATCAGGCTTTTCCTTTGTTTCAAACGCGTGAGTGGGTATGGAACTGCAATCATTTGGGGAGTTTTTTAAGTGTGCCAATAAGAAAGACTCTGACGCTGACTCTCGGGAGAACGTGTCCACGTTCTTGAGATTCCTCTGGGAATGCTCAATGGACAGATTTAGAATTTTTATTTCCCAAAACTGGGAAAACTTCCAAATTCAAGCGTGTAAAAACTTTCCATTTAAAAAAATGCACACCTCCCCCACTCCCCCGCCCTCCCCACAAGAGAGTCTCCTAATAAACAGAGCCTCTGCAGATACATTCCTATATCACAGGACATAATGCTAGTGTTCTCCCCTAAAACACCACTTCCCAGCAAGAGTAAGATTTCAGTTTATAATCACAGGTAGGCATTGTCTCTTTTACGGAAATATGCTCTACTTATGCAGAGAAATTCCAGAGGGACACAAACAACAATAGATCCTAGGGCATAACCAAGCAGAGCACCCATTCTGCCTGCTCTATGATGTTCCTACACTCTGGAATGGGTGAATATCCAGGTGGAAGGGGATCTTGGCATGGGAGAATGTCTGAAATCTTGCTGCAGCCACTGGAATGCACCTTCAGACTGTTCTGGATTGTGCTGGAGGAGGAACGCAGCCCCTCCAGCATGTTCCAGTATTGCCAGATGTAGACAAATCATACGGCCACCTTTGATTCTCTTCCCTCAGGTCCTGTGCTCAGTCAGGCCCAGAACCAAGGATGGAATAACCCAGGTCTTCGAAGTTTCAAACCAGCGGCCCATCTGCTGGACTGGACTGCCACATCGTATTAGTGCAGAGAGGTCTCGAAGAACATAACAGATGCCCTATCCCGTTGTGTGGCAGAGGAATGGCTTCCGGTACCGAAGGAGGAAAATCTATTCCATTAAATTCTCATTGTGTGGCAGAGGAGTGGCTTCTGGTACCGAAGGAGGAAAATCTATTCCATTAAATTCTCTGACACCGTAGAAGAGATTATCTAATGGAATTCACTGATTACTAGGCCTGTAAAAGGTTTCAAACCGCCTCTCTGAGCAGGGCACCAAAGCCTATGCTGTAAGCTAGAGTGACATTAAACCAATCTGTTTATCAACGTGTCTCGGGCCCTGTTTGGAAGCAAATGAGAAAATAGGGCATGTTAGCCGTAGCATGTGGAGGCAAGGATCAGCCCTAGTTTGGGATGGTGGCTTGCATTTATTTGGCTTCAAACTTGCAGCACCATGCTCTTCAGAGGTGTTTCTGAGAAATTTCAACCCCAGATGGTGAAAAAGTTAGTGGCTCAGTTGATCTTAATGATTTTCTGCAAACTCAGATGCTGGAGACAAATTAGGCAGGAATTTTCTATGATAATCTCTCCCCTCTCTGCAAACCCCAAGCTCGAACTAGATCTGAAGTTTGCATCTGAGGCCATGTCTTCACTAGACAGAAGATTGATGCTGCTGCGATCAATCTTCCGGAGTTCAATTTAGCAAGTCTAGTTAAGACTCACTAAATCAAATGCAGAGGGCGCCCCCGCTGACTGCTGGTACTCCTGCTTCTGTGAGAGAGAGGGAAGCCAATGGGAGGGTTTGCTCCTGTCAGCCTCCTGTTGTGGGGATGGTGGGGAAATACGAAACAAGGTAGATTGACTTCAGCTATGTAATTAACATAGCTAGAATTGCATATCTTGATTCAACATTCCCTATGAGTGTAGACGTGGCCTAGGCGCAACACTGCTAAGGACTGAAGTGCTACATTTGGCTGTTAGCTGTGTGACCATTGTTTGTTGCAAGTGTGTAGTATGGAAAAGATCTTTAAAGACCTGGGGTAGTGAAGTACTCAACTGTCACTGAAAGTTCTTTGTGCCTTTGAAAATCTCTTCCTACACTTCATTTGACTTGGGCTGGGTGGAGAATAACTCACTGTGCTTCCTCCCATCCCTGCACTGTGAAATTTGCTTCCACGTTGCATTGAAATCCTATGGTTGATGTTCGAAAGAGAATTGCCTGTTCTTGGAGACTGTATTCCTGCCTTGCACAACTATGTAAAAAGCTGTTGATGATTCACTGGGGAAAGTTTAGAAGAAAAAGATTCTGCAGTGAGATATTTTTGCATGTAGTGCATGTGTGCTGCTTTATGTATTTCTGTGCCCCTCTTCCCTCCCTGCTCTTCCCATCTGCAATAATCTGCCACCGGGTTTCTCAACAGTCAACATTTGTTAACATTTTGTTCCTCCATTCCAGCTTCTAACACTGTTTGTGACAACAGAACGATTTCTCAAGCGATTAGATACAGACCTGAGCAAAACTCCAGACCCGGGTGTGCAATGGGGCTTAACCCCAAGAACGGAGCAAGCGAACAAAACTCCAGACCCAGGTGTGCGATGGGGCTTAACCCCAAGAACGGAGCAAGACAAGAGAGAAAATCCAATTAGGGGCACTCCGCACCTCACAGCGGATTAATTGATTGCTTCCTGGCCAGAGGAGGCAGGGCTGGAGGGTATATGTTTCTAAGAGAGCACGCGCAAGCTCAGTTAAGAAGGAAACAGGGGGAGTTCTTTCCTCCTGGGAAAAGGCCTGGGGGAAGGTTTGACAGTGAAGCACGAGGTGTGGCTAGGGTAGAGCCCCCAGAGTAGTAACTCCAGTGGTGATCCTAAAATGAGGGGACTGGAGTGCTGAGTTAGGGGTTGTGACACAGTCCTAGGACACACAAGGCGAGGTTCTTCCTGCAGAGACAGAGACATATAAGTACCATTGTGCAAGGCACCAGTAAGACTTCCTCTGGAATCCAATGTAAAATTCTGGCTTCTCGTGTTTAATGAGGTAGGAGGTGATGAGGGGTGGTAAGTTGGGGAAGAGAGTTCTTAGACTTGCAGCAGGGAAAACCCTGACTGACTTGCCCCTTGATAAAGGGAAAAGAGCTGGAGTCAAGCTGAGGAAGGGTAAAGGGCTTATTGGTTGAAGTCAGCCCAGGAGCGACAAAGGACTGTTGGGTAGAGATCTCAATCCCAGGAGAATGGACCATGTGTGACCCGGCCCCGGGGGTGAGCCACAGAAGCCCCATGGCAGCCCCTGGAATGGATTGGCTGGGGTTTATCTTCAAGGCTGGCGAAGCAGCCGCCAGAGGGAGTGTGAGCGGCAAAGTCTCCTGCAACGCTCTGTCTGGGCACGAGGGGTGCCCCAGAGATAAGGAGGCGCATTTAAAAGGCGCGTTTGGCTTTTCCTAGATGTCAAGAAGGCTTTCAAATTCCAAAACCAGGAGCTAAATTGTGCAAAAGGCTCCTCTCTTTATAAGGAGCTGCACCAAAATGCCATATCGAAAGCAGGCAGCCCACTACATTGCAACACACAGGAGAGTTAGGGGTGTGGACTGAATTTTGGAAACTCGGCCCTTGTCTAATAGCAACCCACAAGAGTACATGAACTCTCAGGGCTCGTGTACACTTACAGTGCGGCAGCACCTCTGTCGATGCGAGAGCTTCTCCCCTCAGGGTAGCGATTCCACCTCTCCAAGAGGTGGTAGCTACATTGACAGAAGCAGCCCTTCCATTTACACAGACCCATCTACACTGGGAATTAGGCTGGGTGTGGATTTTCCATACCCTGGAGTGAGGTAGTTGTACCAACAGGAATTCCTAGTGTAGACTATGCCTCAGGAACAGACCTGTACAAATAAGATTTCTTATGAACTAGCAATCCCAATTTTTATTATGTAGATGCATGTGGCAATTGCACAAACAGAACAGGAACAGATGTTTGTTAATACATTGATTTCCACGGAGGTATCAGTAAGTCTTTAACCAGCTGTTGGATGTGGAGGAGATTTAGAATTATTTTAAATCAAAGTTGCAGAAATGATCTGAAGCCTACACTCCAAGCAAGGGAAATAAACTCATAGGGAAGGATTGCAGACTAATGGATGAGCATGCATCTCAAACAGGTGATTAAGAGAAAGAAGAAAGCCTACAAGAAATGGAAGAGGGGCTGGATCAGCAAGGAAAGGAGCTTCTTGGAGGTCAGAAAGTGTAGGAGTAACGTGAAAACTGCCAAAAGCCAAGCCAAATTGGACCTTGCAAAGGGAATTTAAACCAATACAGGTTGAACCTCTCTAGTCTGGCACCCTCTGATGCTGAATTTGCCGGACCACGGGAGGCTAATAGTGTTTAGCAGCATTTCCAACACATCCACTGCTTACTGGGCTCTTAGAAGACATTTAGGGATAAATTAGAGCTAAATAACAGCAAAGAACACTGAGCGCCAAGACTGGTGGCTGTAAAAAACTGTATGAGACCGTGCAAAACTTGGCCACACCCATGATAAATGGACATCTGGCTAACTAAAATCATGCTGGACCACGGATTTTGCTGGACTATAAAATGCCAGATTAAAGAGGATCAACCTGTAGTAAAAGTTGCTCTAGCCATTAAATAAAAAGAAAACAAGGCAAAAAGTGGGACCACTAACCACTAAGGATGGGGCGGAGATTAGAGATAATCTAGGCATGACCCAACACCTAATCAAATATGTTGTCTCAGTTTTTAATAAGGTTATTGAAGAACTGAGAGGTAGTGGCAGGGTGGCTAATGGGAATGAGGCGGAATTTACCACATCCGAAGTAGAAGTCAAATGAAAAGCAGTCTCATGAAACTAAGTGTGTTGGGGGGCAGATAATCTTCATCCGAGAATATTAAAGGAACTGACACATGGAAAAATAGCAAAGAATGTAATGAACCTGTTAACGCAGGGGTTGTACCATATGACTGGTAAGAAAGGGGAAAAAATGATGCAGGAAACTACTGGCTTGTTAGTTTGACTTCAGCAGCATGCAAGGTCTTGGAACAAATTTTGAAAGAGAAAGTAGTTAAGGACATAGGAGTGAATGGTAATAAAACATGATTGTATAAAAGAGAGTGTGTCAGACTAACCTACTGTCTTTCTTTGAGAAGATAACTAGTTTTTTTAGACAGAGAAAATGCAGTAAATCTAATCTAGCTGGATTTCAGTAAGGCATTTGATATAGTTTCACATGGGAAATTTGTTAAATTGGAGAAGATGGAGATTAATTTGAGAACTCAAAGGTGAATAAGGGGCTGGTTAAAGAGAAGACTATAACATGCCATACTGAAAGGTAACTGCAGGCTGGGGAGAAGTTACTAGTGGAGTTCTTCAGCGATTGATTTTGGGACTAATCTTTTTTAACATTTTTATGACTCACCTGGACACAAAAAGTGGGAATGCGCTACTAAAATTTGTGAAGAACACACAGTTGGGAGGTGCTGCCAATATGGAGGAGAACAGGAATATTATACAAGAATATCTGAATGACCTCAAATGGGGGAGACAGAAATTCAATGACATTTAATAGTGCAAGGTCATGCATTTAGGGACAAAGAAACCTAACTGCCTTCAAGACTGAGCTGCATCAGTATATAAAGAGTGGTATGTTGAAACTACTTACAGTGGAGTGTTTGATTTGGATTTGATTTAAATTTGACTATTACCCCTTTAAATCCAAATCACACACTCTTAATCGACACTAAAAGGTTAACACAGACTTGCACTGAAATAACCACCCGTGTGAATGACGTGATATATGGTTATTTCAGTTTCAGTTTGCGTGTGGGGTGACATGGTCCAAGTGCCAGCCTAGGGAAATAAACACAGCAGCAGCATTCTGTACAGGGACGGGCGAGGCAAGTTTTCTAGGCTAGACCAAGTGATGTGGCAGTAATCAAGATGGGGACTTGGATGGGAGTTTTAGCAGTGGGATGGATGGGAAAGGCCAAGTCTTAGAGGTGCTGTGCAGTAGAGATTGGTATGATTTAGGGATCCCCCGGATGCGAGGATCTAAAGTGATCTGAATCAAAGATGATTCTCAGGTGATGGAAGAACTTGGAGGGAGA